AAAACGAAGCCTGATCCGGTTGCTTACCACTCGCATTTTGCGCATATGTAGCCATGATACTGTGGAGGATGAGTTATATCTTTTGAGAAAAATCCTAATTGAATATAGTTCTCCACCACGTTTAATGAACAAGAATAAACACTAAAATCCTATGAAATGTGACTCATCATCCATACCTAAGAAAATACTGTACATGAACTTGGAATTCAAAGGTGACTTAGCTTCCAATATCATGAAAAGAAAGATATCACAGTCCCTGAATAGAATATGCACTGCTACACATTTGAGAATAGCGTTTTCCAGTTGGCCATTGCTTTTCAATAACTTGAAGGACAAGATCCCACAGTTGACCAAGTCTATGTGTGTTTATCAATTAACCTGCTCGTGTGGAGCTAGGTATATTGGTCGTTCAACTCGGGTTCTTTCTAAGAGGGTGTAAGAACACTATCCCGCTGCATGGTTACGAAGAGGTGAAAGTGGAGCAATAAGAAGCGCGATCACTGAACATCTGGTCGATAATGATCACCCTACCTCTACATCCTCCGCCTTTAAAGTCATCTATATGGCAAAAAAGTCGGTGGCATAGCGGTTAGGACGCTTGCCGACCATGCACGTGGTCCGGGGTTCGATCCCCAGCCGACGCACTCCTTTACCTCACTAAGCCAGAAATAATGCTGGTAAAGAGGAAAGGTTGGGAATGAGGCTAGCAACCCCATCCTGTAAAATACGACTGCTACAGAAACTTCAAGCCTCTAGTTTGAAGCCCTATGTTCCACTGGGGAACGTGAAGGAAAAAAAAATATGGCAAAAAGTAATTTACCCAAGTCACTACATATCCGACTCATCTGTATTGCTGAAGCTCTGACTACCAAAACAGAATAGATGGACCTCTATATGGAGAAAAGTTCGTTCAACCCCTTCAACCTTTATGGTCTTAATTCCTCTATGCTAAAGTATGCTAATCCCTAATCATATTTTAGCTCTACCTATTTTTCGTTTTGTTTATTCAATCTGTAGTTTACTTTGGCTGAACCAAATCAAATGGAGTTCACCGCTAATGAACTCAGCCTCAAAAGAGAAAAAAGTTTGTGCGTTATCTAGATGACAGTGATCTGGCTATCAAGCACTACTGGTTGATGTGAGAAGTATTACTGAACTACTCACCCCGATCAATCAGTAGTATATGTACCTTTATTAAAATTTCAAAGTAGAACTTTGCAAAATATGCAGTAGCATTTCATAAGAGAAAGAGATGGGTGAGAATGTGTAAGTACATGTAAAATATAAAGGATTTCATGAATCTGGAAGTTTTGAAGAAGTGAATACATCTTGGACATTAGGACCTATTTTTCAGCCATAATACCAAGTTACAAACTATCGGTTTTTGGTTTCTTGAGGACCCCAGCCAAGCAATCTATACCTCCTTATGTGGCTTAAGCCAACCTTTAAAGGCTTAATAGATTGTTGTCACGCAGTGATTTGAACATCCTCAAAGTAATCGTATGTCATATATTGGTCAGTCGGTCGGCCGGTTTTCGACATAGAACTTTGCACATATGTGCGGCAGTTCAAGTCACCACACTCCATGTCGCACACAAAGAAAGAGAAGAAAGTAGGAGAAATGCATAATATAGACAGTAAACAGAGGTGTGAGACAAAGGAATAGTAATAACGAAGAACAAAAAAGTTTCATTGGAAATCATGAGTCACAAGGAGTGGATGCGTCTGCGCTAGCCATTGAGAACGAGGATTTTGAGCCATGTCACAAATTGTTTCCAACCATTGGTTTTTACCGTCCCGAGGACCCCAACCAGGAAGTCTACATATTCCTACTTGGCTTAAACAAACTGTTGTGGATTTCATTGACTGATGAGGCCATGTTTTGGTTTGAACGCCGCTAGCTCTTTTCCGACCTCCTGCATCCTATGTCAGCTAACATTGCCCGTCGAGGAAGGCGATGACTGGCCTAGCATAAGAAACACATGTCCTAACCATCTCAGTCGATGTAATTTCACAGTCTCGTCGACTGATTTCCCCGCCTTACCTAGCACTCGACGCCTAACCTCAATATTGCTCACCTTATCATACCACTTCACACGGGAGATAGAATGCAGACACCTATGATCGAAGACAGTTAATCTTTTCATGTCTTCCGCTCTCAATGGCCAGGTCTCACAGCCATAAAGGAGGACGGAGCGGACTGTTGAGCAGTACACACGCCCTTTGGTCGATAGCCTGTCGGATATCACGTCTACGCCAGAGACGGCGTAAACTGGCATATGCGAAACTCGCCCTCTGTGATATATGTCATATATCATAGATAGTTCAGCATGCATAAAATACTGTCACAATCATCTCAGCCTGTACAATGTCTCAAACCCATCAGTTTGTTTTCACTGCCTACCGAGTACATTAGGCCTAAAATAATTATTGCTTATCACATTGTACCACCCATAAAAATGAATAAAATAACTCCAAAATAGTAAAAGTCTGCAATATGCACATCAGAACATAAGAAATATTAAAAAAAGCAAAAAAACAGTTGAAGTGAAGAAAATTTTCCTTTTGACGAACTCATGAACTAGGAGACTGTATATTCGTGTATTCGTGGTGAAACTTAAAGTAAAATAGATACTTCACCCCAAGCGTATTCAATAAGCTACGTGAAGCGCAAGCTGTCACATTGGCTAACATATTAACACACACACACATCAGTTCATCTGCTCAGGTAAAGCTCAGTACATTCATCGGTCATAGTATACAACCACTCATCAAAAACGGGTTTCAGAACACTGTCCAGACGGAGAAAGTAAGTGTGTGTGCAGTGACGTAACAGAACATCTGTTGGACTCAAGATACTCGAGCTTATTTGAAATTATCCTTCAAAGTCTTATACAATTTTCGGTCAAATACCTCAAATGAGAGTCAGTCCAAGGTATTACAGCTTGATTCCACACCGTATTTTCAGTAGAAGTATGGAATTTTCAGCATGGATATCGGTAGCCCACATTTTTGCAGGCCGACCATAGATATCGGGTGTGCGTCGGTAGGGGATACAACCCCGGACCATGTGCATGGTCGGCGAGAGTCCTAACCGCTGTGCCACCGACGCACAAAGAAATAGCAGTCCGATAGGTGAAGCCAAATCTAAGTATTCAGAAGAAGCACATCCAACGTATGTCTTCACCATGGCCATAATATAAGGTCAATTCTCTCACTGGTGATTATCCTATTACCTTTCCCATCTTTTATTTTCTTGTGTTTTAATCCAGTCTTCCTGTTTATTATTGGATTATAATCCTTATTCAAAGTAAAATTTATTTGCTGATGACGTTTTGAGCAGAATCAATCAGATTATCACCTTGATAGGATTATGGGCAATGAACTGTGCTCAAAACATCATCAGTATACACATCAGTTACCGTAATATACTGTGGTTTACCAAATAAAATTAGTCTGTTTTGAAATCCAGTCCTAACACAGTGCTCAGATTCGATTCTTGTATCAAATACATTAATGACTGGGAATGTAGTCAGTTAAGGAGGCTAAAATGCACTGATAGTTCAATGGTAGAGTGTTCACCACTCATACAGGAGCTTCGGGCTGGACTAGCAACCTCATACGCTCCTTAAGTTTGCCTAGGTAGCCGAAGGTCCGGCGAAGAGGGAAGATTGGGCTCCAGTTAGCCGGCTGATGCCGAAAAAGCACTACTGCCGCTAATAAAACTTCAAAAAATTGAAACATTGAGAACGCCGGGAACGGAAAAAAGAGGCTAAAGTGTAGAAAACAAGACAAGTAGTTCAGCAAAGAGGCTTTTTTCGGCGTATCCACTTTCCTGTCTAGCTGTACAGTCTCATATAAATATATATTATCTTTTCTATAAAAGAGAATAGTATAAAAAGTGATCAGTCAACACCCCCTTTATTCACAACTATCCCCTTGTATTTCATCAGGTAGGATGAGAAGTCAATATAAGAAGTTAAATGCTCGAACCACTAAGTACAAAAATTCTACAATACCGTATTTAGCCCGTATTTTATGTGATGAAGACTCTGTTAAACGTGAAACATATAAGTTTCTATGTAATTAGCAAAGTGAATCGACCCTTTCATTGTTCATCTTTCTGTAATTTTATGGTGTCACCCTTTCTATCGTTTAATTATAACTTTGCTATTTTTATTTTAGTTGTTTTTACTATTATTACTATAATTTTATAATTTATGCGTATTTTTCTCCGTACTGCTTACAGTAATTTGCTAAATAGCTGCTATAAAAACGTTTTGTTATCATTATTATGTAATGATTATTTCTTTTATTTTTTGTTTTTGTCATTTCTGAGTAAATTAGATGCAATATTGTACTGAATGCTGAAAATACCTTGCTGTATCATTAGTACTGTTTTTGGAATAAAGCAAATTATTATTATTATTGTTGACTCTGGTCAATGAGTAAAAGGAGTTAAATGTGTTCCCATGATAGTAGAATTAGTTGAATAGTTCTCCTCTGTATACAGAGTCTCAGTTATTCTAACTGAATGGTTAAGGCTTAGCGATACACACTGAAGACGAAAGTGTATTGTCTTTGGTAGGTTGTTCTTCCCTTTTTTTAGGCTACTTTGAAGGAGGTGTTTGTTAATATGAAAAATGACCAGTGTTGATTTGGTGTTCGTAGAAGGCAGAAAAAATGAGAATTTTGTTATAAGACCATACATATATTAAATTTCGTTTCCAAAGAAATGCTTTAAAGGTGTTAAAAAGTCAATTTCATACACTGTAAAATCTCAGTTGACTAAATTGAAAAGTCACCATTTTGAAGGTATTTCAATGCTGATATTGACAAGTTTGACCTTATCAAGGAGGAATACACATTGACATTGACTGACAGGTAGGTTGTCAATAGCAGCTCCGATATTACAAAAGTAATTTCATATAAATAGCAAGGACACATGATTAAAAAGAGTAATTCTTAAACACGCTTAGGTGAGATATACACTCCATTTTGCTTATTATTGTAATATAAATCTTGCCTTAAATGTCTATATTTTTATTACCTGATCTGTGATTTATCTATGTAGAGACGCATTTACCCGATAACATGCTGAAATCAATAATTTTCCTCTTGGTTGTATCAAATGAACTGTCAAACGCTAAGCAAATTGATGTCATTAAACTTCCATTTGTGATCACTTCGAAAGGTGAGTAGAAACCAAGCAAATGAATGCTTATACAATGTATTGATGATATCGTGTAATGTGTATTTTTTTCATTTCTGTAAATATGGATACTTAAAAAATCTGAAGATTGAACAGTCGTTGTTGTGTCAGTCTAACAGCATGCCAGACTGGTAGGAATATCCAGACATCCAGGTGGAAGTGAGTTGCGTGCTGTTCAAACCTTGGATCCATTGGCTGAAAGGCAAGTAGTAAGGCCGATCAAGCATATCTCCACAGCAGTATAATTTACTTTCAAGAATTCGTTTGTAGGAATTTAATTTATTTCTAGTTTAACCACGGATTGATATCAGTTAGAGAACCACTGAAAAACGGTAGGGAGTAGTGAACAGCTATTTTGTCCTAGTTTGGGGTTCGAACCCAGGAATTTTCGGTTATAAGTTAAGCTCGCAGACCACTCATTTGCTGGGGCCCGATTTGCTGACTAACCCATGTATTATAACTTCTACCAATTGGCGATTTTAGAGTGACAGGTGGTGGCCAGTGTCATCTGTGGTGAGTATCCGTCATCACTTCCGACTTTCTGGTGTACTGCACTGGTCACAACTTCTTATCAGAACTCCAGCGGACTTTATTGATTGGATCGAAGAGGTAGCTTCCTTGGCCCAAGCGGTCTAGTGGATAAAACTCTGGCGTTTGAAATTATGGGTATTAGGTTAGAGCTCCAGTGGGGACACTGTCACTCACTAGGGAATGCAGAGACACCCAGATGACGAGTGCCAAATGGGATGAAATACGCTGCTAGTCACCATCCACTGAATTAATTCAAGAAGAATATCTCGTTAGTATAAAATTGGTGTAAGATTTGTACACTATGGTATTCCATATTAGATGAGCTCATTTGATAAAACTATGAGTGATGCAGTATTGATAACAAGATAACATTTCAAGCAGAATTATTACTGATAACCATATCTGTGTATTCACGTCACCTCATAATTTACTTCATATACATTTTTTATTCCCTCTGTTATTCATTGCGACTTTCCATATATCAATAACAGGCGTTGTGTCATTTGACTGCATATGTTCAGTATTGAATCGATGAATGAAGGTCCAGTGATAAATCTCTCTTTCCACCTAACTATACTACTTATTATTACTTACGCTGTCCTCTACTCTAATGTGTGGTTACATTCAAGTGAATGCATTCCGGTAGTTGAGTTTGTTTCTAGACTATTTAACTTAGCAAGATCAATCATTCTAGCTCTAGCTAAATTCAAGAATAAACACATGAGTTCATGAGAAATTATTAAAATGACGATCGATGTGAGGAAAATCTTATTTTCGAAGGAGTCATTCACTAAACTGTACGTTGATATTAGGTGGTTGGAGGCGATTGGTCACAGGAAGCCTTGTCTCACTTAGGTTTCGTGCTAGTTTGCACTCACCAGTCAGGGCAAGGTGTATTTGCAGTCAGAGACGTTACCACTGAGCTATTCGCGCTCACCATTGACATCCTGTAGAACTGTACTGGATATTTTTGATTAGACACTAGTCAGTAACTAGTGTGATGATTCTGTTTCTATCTTTGGTGCAGACGTTTGTGTGCATACATGAGAGAGAAGCGAAAGTTCCAGTACTATTTCCGCTCAAATGTCAAACCGTGAAGGAATAACAAGAATACAAGTAGGGATTAAAACAGCAGCAATAACAATAATAAAGAAAAGGTTTGGGTAGGAAACAGACGGATAATAATTATTGATCAATTTGCCTGTTTACAAAGGTAGTAGTAAAGACAAAGATTGGATATACTTCTTCTGAATACTTAGATTTGTCTTGAGTTATCGGATTGCTAGTTCTTCAGCTATGTTCGGATCTCTTGGATTGACTATCATTTGGGTGTTTGATGGGAGATTCTATAGGACTTTGAAGGATAATTTCAAATAAGCTGGAGTATGTCGAGTGTACCAGATGTTCTGTTACGCAACTGTATGAACACTTGCTTTCTCCGTTTACTAGGCAACCATAACGGATGGTGATCCGGAGCGTTTTCTACAAGTGGACACTCGGTAAAGTTGATGAATGTACTCAACTCTACAAGATCAGGTGAAGTGATGCATATGTGTTGATTTGTTTGCTAATGCGGCAGCCTGGTTGAGTAGTATTTTGGGAGAGGTATGTTTTCCTAAGAGATTCTGTAAGGCGTTTCAGGGAATTTCCTCCTTAGTACCACTTTTAAATTCCATATTTGAGAGGTGAATTCTCATGTTCCAATAATCCAATTCACCTTGACCTGCTAGTTTGACCTATATAACTGACCTTGCATTAATTAATTACTTGGTATTCAGTAGTGTATATTATTCTCCTTAGTTAGTAGAATGTAAGTGGATTACCAAGCCTACATACGCAACGCTACAACCTTCACATGCATAGCATACATTAATAGAATTCATGTGGAATCCAATTAACTCCTACTTTTCTCTTATACTGTTCTTCGTCTGTTTGTCTCTGTTTCTCTCATTTAGGTGAAATGATTCTCTCAGATGTAACAGAGAAATTCTCTCTTGATGACAAATTGATGCTTACTCATAAAGATCACTTTTGTTTAACAAAACTTGATTTATCTAGACCAAATGCAAAAGAGGAAGCAGATAAAAAAGGTTTTCGAACAATGACTGAGTAAGTACACAAAAGTATATATATAGTCTTTGTTTACATTAGATATATAATGACACATATGTTGTTTGATAAGATACCAGTGAGGTGCAGTTAGAAGTCACGTGTGTGGATGGATGTCCCACCAACGACAATAGTTGGGGTCGCGCTAAAATCACGAATTGGTAGAAGTTAGAATTCATGAGCCATTGAATCGGGTCCCAGTGGCTGAATGGTATACGAGCTTGCCTTGTAACCGGAAGGTCCTGGGTTATAATCCCAGTGGGTGCGTACTGTCGATGATTCCCAAACTAGGATGAAACAGCAGCTGTCCAGTACTCCCTGGTTTTCAATGGTTCTCTAACTGATATCAGTCCGTGATCAACTCGTAAAAGATACCATGTATGCCTTTGTTTTATGATTCCCAGTTGTAGTGAATTACTTTACACATGTGATACACATCTCACCTATATTCATTCCCCCGACTTTTTCTTAATACTTTTCAGAGATTGTAAGGAATCACCTGTAAAGAAGGGTTAACAAGCACAGAAGGGATCTAAAAAGAAAAGCATAATTGACGTTGGTGGGCAATATTGGCCTGTGATTTCATCAATCTATTTGTGTGTGTGTGTGTATGGAATTTCTAATAAACTATTTTATTTGAATAAACTGTTAATAATTTATGCTTAAGTGTCGTTATTATTATTTTTTTGATGTCTTATATCTCGATATCTTGTGAAATCGCTATTATCGAATGACAATTTGTAGGGGTTTGACTGGCTATAGGTTCGATGACTAGTCAACAACAGTTAGAGGGAACCATTAGAAAACCAGCACGAAATAGTGGATATCTGTTTCATCTCTGTTTGGGACTCCTCAGTGGTACGCACTCATTGTTAGTGATCTAAATGCTAACAAGGCGAGCTCGTAGTGGTTGCTCTATATATATGTCACGAATCGGTGGAAGTTGGAATTCATGGGCTGGTCAGTGGATTGGGTACCATTGTTTGGATGGTCTACCAGCTGGCCTGGTAACCGGAAGGTCCTGGGCTCGATCCATGTCGGTGGGTGAGTACTCCTGATGTACCCGAAACTAGGATGAAACAGCAATCCACTAATCAAGAATTAATCTGAAGCTCACCAGCCACTGGTCTTATTCAGGCAGTTAACCTAGGGTTCTAGTGAGAAGCCGTGACCTATAGGGTACATCAGGTTGAAGGTGAGTCAGTAACTCAGCTAAGAAGATATCGCGAAGCGGTCGCGCTATATCATGAATTTGCAGAAGTTAGAATTCATGCACTGACTGGACATTGGGTCGGGTCCCACCGGCTTAATGGTCTACGAGCTAGCTCGCTGGCCTTGTAACCAGGAGGTCCTGGGTTCGAACTCCTGTCCTGGGTGCGTACTGATGAAGAGTCCCTAACTAGGCTGACGAAACGGCTGTCCAGTACTCAATGTGGCTGGTTTTCCAATGGTTCTCTAACGGATGTCAGCTCATGATGAAATCCTCCAACCAACGCTTGAAAATATACAGTCACAGAACGCTCCAGACACAGCACAAAGACGATTACTTATTGTTAGGATTTGTGCCTCTATTCAACAATAATGATAATGTCAAAGACTCAAAAGTACCGTTAGGCAGGTATACAGACAAGGTAAATTTCTCAGTCTGAAACAAGCGCTGTAGAATAGAATTAATCAACTAAAACTCAGCTGTAAGAATTACCTGAGAATCAAGTCGCAACGAATCAATCAACGAGGTGGAATCAAACACATTCTGTCCAAAAGAATCACACACCAACAATTACCTGAGATAGTTCAAAGCATGAATGACCTTCGCTTACTCAAACAAAATCTTATTGTAAAACAACGCATTATCAATATATGTAGCGCACAACCTCAACTAAGAGAAGCATTCGAATTAGAGAAGAAACAGGGAGAAAGACCAATAATAATAAGGATCAAAGCAGCATGTGATATGCGAGTGTCAGGATAATGATGCACAGTGTACGACTAAAATCGATAGTAATTCCAAAATTAGTTGAAACATCGAAATAAGTACAAATATTGTGAACAGATCATCGAGGAGGGATTTTTCAAACAATTATTCCATTACAGAATTCAGTTGCCATAGGAAACTGTGGGGAAATTCCACCTCATCGAATTGCGTAAAATGCCAGACATGAAATATTTCACTAATTGTGAATTTGATACCATAATAAGAGTCCTGTCGTCTATGGCTATCTCAGATAATCTCAAAATAAATTGTTACAAATTATTACAAGTTTGGACACTGAAACATAACACTACAGGAGGTCAGTCGCGAGCCTGAATACCTCAGTGGTAACGTCTCTGACTGCAGCACTGGGTGACGCGGGTTCGAATCTCAGAAGGGACATCAGTTCCTTCAAGGTTGCAGATAGGCCTTGTTGATGAGTGCCAACCAGCACGAAACCTAGGTCCAAGGCTTCCTGCCGATTGCCTCCAACCATCTAATACCAACAATTCACAGTGCACCGTAATGGCGAGCTACCTAGCATGGTGGCCACATTGCAAACATGACTGATAGAATTCAGTCTGCTGTGAAGATAGGACTAGACACATTGCACTAGTTACTGACTAGTGTGCAATCAAAAATGACACTAAATCGTTAAAAAAGGCGTAGACATCGATTGACTGGTTCCAAGTTAGTCCACGAAATAAAATCAGTTAGAGAACTGCTGAATAGCGGCAGAGATTACTGGACATCCGTGTCATCCCATTTTGGGGCTCTTCAGCGACATACACGCACACACACACACGATCCGACCGAGGATTGAACCTGTGATATTAGGTAGCATCGGCGTCATGTATATATTGTGAATTGGGAGAAGCTGGAGTTCGTGGGCTGATGGATTTCCTCCCAATGTCTGAATAATCAGTGAGTTCGACTCCCGGGCTGAATCCAAAAGGGGGGAGGTCTACGATGAATACCACTGAAAAGTCCTTAACTAAAACAAAAGAGATAATCAGCACTTCCTGGTCATCATTGGTTCCCTAGCTCACATCTCTTCGGCTTAAAATGTAAACGAATTAAGATACAGTAAATGCATAGGAGTTATTTTTAGACCTCTTCAGCTGAACATTTTACATGCTTTATATACAAGATCATAGCACACTTGTAGTACTAGAATTAGTTTGAAAAACAAGAAAATATAGAGAGGTGAAAGAATGATGGGATACATAAGGTCTTAGGAAGATAAGAAGGGTTGTGAATCTGCTGAAACTTCAACTCATGAAGCCGTATGTTCTACTCGGGATACAAGGAATGTTGGGAAAATATTGTGGAAGATAAACAGCTTTATCAGTTTGCGATAATAATTAATGGTAATGAGATAAGCTTATTTTTTTCTGTGCCTTGGAGATTGAGTCGATTCCCTGGATGATTTTTTGTGTAAGGACTGCCTAAGAGCTGGAACGATTCGGCGGTTATCAAGTGCCCACTGTTTGTCATTGTTTCTGTAAGTGCTGTCTATTTGTCAGCAAGTGTACCTTGAACACAATCTAATTCTTATCAAACCAAATATTTGAAGACTTATTATTATTTAGAAGACAAAATGACTAAGAAAACAATATTCATTTCGACAAATTTCTCATCTGGTTCAACAATTATTGTTATTTTTTATTCCTCTGGGTTCCGAGTGGAATACACCACTACCAACAGAACATCTCCATTTCATACTGTTCCCAGTGGTCCTCTTCAGCTTGTCTCACCACTGCTCATACCGGCAGTTACCTCCTCCATTGCACCGTCTGACTAACGCCCAACACGTGATTTCCCATTCACGTTCTATTTGGGAGATGGCGGGGCGCGTGATGTCATCCGATGTTATCCTCATAGCGTATTCAATCCATCCATCTCCAGGCGGCCTGCTTAAATTTGGTGTACCAAAAAACCCCCTCTATGTTCCACAGATATTTTATCCCGTTCAGTTTGTTTAAATTCGATAAGTCATAACGTTTTGTTGCGTTTTAACTTTGGCGAGTATTTAGTACGCCTACAACTTGCCAATCCACAAGTTTCTAGTTATCGTGAGAAAAAACATAATCGTGGGTTGGGGCGTACTGCAATGCGAGAGATAGCTAGTTAGTTGTTCTTGGGTTGTGTCCATGGTTCACACAGTGGATTCCTGAAACTTGTCTAATTGCCATTCAACCAAATCAAAAGGCATTTACAGACGAAGAAGACAAAGGAGAGACATCACAATTTCTTGATATATGCTTTATGTCAGGCAGAAGTGTTTCACTTGGTTCCCCATCACTTGATATTCTATTTGAAGATCCCGGATGAAGAGAAAATATCTTGCGATAAACTAAGCTGAAAACGTTGTACAGTATATTTCCGGCCGGCCATCTGATCTGCAGCATAGAGGTAGTGAAAGTAGCTGTTGATGAAATCTGCAGAGGCGTGCTGGAAATGCTTTGGCCAAGTTTCTGACCCATAACTAGGCGGAGTGTAGAAGATTTCCGCATTGACATCAAGGTGATGAGGGTGTATCTTCCCCTTCCGATTCTGTTTCTCACATGATCATATGTGACACAACCTGTAATTGAAACGGTGCTTCCTAGATAGTGTGAAGGAAACGATTTCCTTTAGATTTCTCCCGTTGGTAATAATTTTTACTTGTTGTCTTTGTTGGTTGGTTACTTTGATCACCTTATGACATTCCAGTCTACTCTAATTACTTCTTTGTTCATTATAACCAAGTTTGTCTGGAGTCAAATTCACAATCTACAGTCTTTATAGTTAGAGTGGTGAGATTTCATCGTAGATTCCATTGGAAACGAAGTTATTCAGGTCCCAAATGGGATATAGTTGATATGAGCGGTATGCAACTACTCATCTCAATTAGTCAGTAGTACATAGTTTTTTGCTACATTATCTTGATAAATCCTTTATAACGTTTTTATCCACAAGAAATGACTTCATCTCTGTACTGGCTTAAAATCTTTCCTGTTTCTCTCCAAAATGAATATAACCCAAGTTCTGTTTTTCCCTTCACAAGTATTAGTTATTGTCTGTAATCGTTTCCTGTAACAAAGTTCATTATTGTCAGGATAGACTAAATATCTAAATCAAAATGAGATCATTAGAATGAAGGCATTTGTTCGAGGCCATGTGTAATTACCAAATTTAGCCCTGAGTTTTAGCAAGTGTGTTGAAGGTGCTAAGCTGCTAGTGAAAGCAGAACTACAGTCACAGTCTATCCTAGAACATGCATAGTCGAGAATTCATATCGATTTTACTGGCCCAATACCTAGGGGATCACTTCCTGGTTATAACTGATGCATTTTCAAAATAGCCAGAAGCTTTTTAATGAGGAATGTTTCGGCGAAAGTTACAATAAGAAAACTTGGAGAAGTATTCTACCGTTTTGAATCGCCTGATATGGTTATAACCGATAATAGGAGGCAATTTGCATCAAGTCATTTGCAGCAGTACTGCTAGCAAAACAGTGTTTAGCATTTCCACTATCCACTGTATCATTGAGAGTAGAATTGTCAGGTAGGACGTTTCGCTGACACATTCAAACGAAAAGTTCTAAAAGTAAATGAAAGGAGGGACGTTAGGACAAGTATATCGAATGTTCTTCTTGGATTATCGATCAATACTGAATCTATCGA